GGTGATTCCTGTAGGGCTGTAGGAGAGCTGCGTTGTTTTACTTTTCGGCTGGTTCTTGACGCTCTTCTTTAAAAGACATTAATAATATAACATTTACAATACGAATAAAATAAGAGAGTAGCGATTCAATACGGCATCTCTTATGGTGGTGAATGGAACGGCAAAATCCCTGGATGCTTCTCGGTAAGATTTATCCGCACGCATCATTGCCACAACCACTTCTCCAAATCCTCCGGCGTGTATTAAGTTTCCATGATCTGCTGAAAAACATTGGATAAAGTAGAATCGTCTTTGAGTGATGCACAAGTGTACGGATTTAGAATCAACTGTTATATATGGATCGAAATCCGTACAGTACTAATTTTGATAAATAAATACCATATGAACGATCCATTGCTTAGAATTGAGATATAAAACGATAAATACTAACCTTTCCGATCGACCTTCAGGAAACTACTTGCAAACATCACTGGAATACGCTTAACAAACTGAAGTAAATCCGAGAGATTTTCTTAGAAAATCGTTAAGAACGCAACCGATTGACAGCAATGCCCGACACGTGTTGAGGTTTTTATTTTTCTTATTTTAATTGCATGACATTCTGCTTAATTGTTGACGTAAACATCAAGCTAATGCATGAATGAACATGAATGTGTATTCATGTATAATATTTACATTGTTATGATGCATATAAATAAACAAATTCAACAGGGTGTACGGATTTCGGTGCTGTACGGATTTCGGTCCCGCACGGTACTAGAGTACAATTTTAAACATTTTAAACGCTATCTGAAAAGGAAAACGAAAAGAAAATTCATCAGTTTTGTCAATGAAAATACGCTTAAAACTGATCGAAGTTTACCTCGAAACTTACATAATTCATATGATGTTGAAATTTTTCCCAAATGATGACTACAAACGCTTCAGAACCGGTTCATCCATATAAATGATCCGAATCTTTTCAATGGTTCGTCGGATCCCGTAACCCTTGTCAAATTTAGACTTTTGTAAAGGATCTTTCTTTACAATATTTGTCACATCCACATAACATCTGAAATATTATTTACGAATTCGATATTCCTGATCTGCCAACCAAACGCTTAGCGTGGTCAACGCCACTACAGATACGATTTCTAGAGCAGCATCTAAACTTAGGACTTCAGCTAAGGCTGGACCCGATGGTGTTCCGTCGATTATTCTTAAAAAGAACATCACTTGTATTTTAGATCCACTGCGCCGCATATTCCAGCGGCATCTTTACGTCTTGCTGGAAGACTGCGGATATGTTTCCTGTTCATAAAAAAGGAAGCAAACGCGACTTAAACAACGACGTTGTCACAGAGTCTCTAAATGCGCATTGCAAGCAATATCTAAGTATAGATCAACACGGATTCATAACTGGGCGTTCCACAACTACGAACCTGCTGTGCCTAACGTCTTACATCACAGACAGTTTGATTGCTCGGACCCAAACGGACGTTATTTACACAGATCTTACGGCAGCCTTCGATAAGCTGAACCACGAAAGTGCGATCGCTAAGGTTGATAGGCTAGGAATCGGTGGAAATTTTTTGAGATGGTTCGTTCATACCTCATGGAGCGCCAACTGACAGTAACTTTGTGTACTTGACGCTCAGCAAGCTTCTGCGCAAAGTCCGGTATACCTCAGGGTAGCCATCTGGGACCATTGGTATTTCTCGTTTGGGCCCATGCATTAATTTTGTCACGCTAAGTCGAGGAGAAATTTAACCCCCCCATATCATGACGTTTTTCCTATACCTAATGCATTGCTTGTCACAAAATCTTAGACCACCTCCCCCCCTAGAGCGTGACATAATATATGCATCAACCCATATTATCACAGGGCCACGATTGTCGTTTGCAGACGATCTGAAACCCGCATAAACGCGAACCATAAATTGACCTTACCTAAAATGGTTAAAAATTGTTTATAACCCCTGCTAAACTTTAACTGAAATGGTTATGGAACTTTACATGAACGTTTAATGATAAATTTTCAACCTTATGCATTATGGTTTTTTGGAACTGGACTTTACAAATAATGGGTCGTTAAGAACCATTACCATTCCAAATTCTTGTTTTCTCCATACATTTTCAGAAAGAGAACTATATGAGAACGTTTTTACTTATGATTTGAGAACATTAATGGTAATGGTTATGGTAGTCAGTAAGGTCCATTAATGGTTTTGTATTATCGCTCAACTTTACGTGGAATATATCGTGAATTGGTAATCAGTAAATTACAGGCAACCAATTCGCGATATATTCCACATAAAGTTGATCGATGTTACAAAACCATTCGTGGACCTTACTGACTACCATAACCATTACCATTAAAGTTCTCAAACCATAAGTTAAAAGGTTCTAATATAGTTCTCTTTCCGAAAATGTATGGAGACAACAAGAATTTGGAACGGTAATGGTTCTTAACAACCCATTATTTGTAAGGTCCAGTTCCAAAAAACCATAATGCATAAGTCGAGTATTAGTACAAGACACTGAAGAAGTCTGCACATTGTAGACGAAATACGCGTATCTGTCAAGGATAAGCAAATAAAGTAGTGGAATTAAATGGAAAATACTAATCCTTCTCTCTCTCATTATACAGGTATTCCACTAAGACGCCCACATTCATCAGGATTGTAGTACAGTACTGGACAAAATAAATCATACGCTCAACCCAAAAAAGTACATTAAATCACATTTTTGCTATTTTGCATGCAATTTCAGCAGTATATTCAGAAAAGTTCAAGTATTTCTCATGGTGCATTCAATTGGCTGAATGAAAATTGTTATAATATTCTGCTATTTTTGTTACAAATTCAAATAAATATATACTCACTTTTGTGCTTGGACAAAATAAATCATACACTCCTAAGATTTTATTTTTTAGCCATCGAATAAAAACAAAATCTGAAGATTTGGCATCACGGAGTAATATTTGGCAGTTCTTGTTCCGGGAAGCGTGCGCATCGCACCATTGTGTTTTGTTTGCGTCATTTGAAAAGTGAAAAATGTCAGGAAAGCAGATTTCGCTCGATGTTGGAAATTTGATGATTCGCGATCGTGAAAAAGGAATTTCTTTTCGGAAAATTGCCGAAAAGTACTCGATCTCAGTTGGAGCTGTTCAGCACATATGGAAAAAGTACGAAACACGAGGAATTGTGAGGAATTTATCCGGACAAGGACGTCATCATGCGACAAGTAATCGTGATGACATCAGAATTGTTCGAATAGCTAAGCAGAATCCGAAGTATTCGTCGAGGAATATTGTGGAATCGATGCATCTCAATGTAAGTCGACGTACTGTTCACCGGCGACTTAATGAGAGCGGTTTGAAAAGCTGTTTGGCATCGAAGCGTCCTTTTATCAACAAGCGGAACCAACGGAAGCGACTGGAATTTGCTAAAAAGTACGCCGGAATGACTGTGGGCTTCTGGAAACGAGTTCTGTGGACGGATGAGAGCAAATTTGAGTTATTTGGACAGAAAAGGCGATCAAGGGTTTGGCGAGGTTCCAGTGACTCTCTTAAGGAACCATACATTCAAAAGACGGTTAAACACGGAGGCGGAAATATCATGGTATGGGGAGCATTTGCGTGGTCTGGTGTTGGAAGTTTGGCTCATATAAAGGGAATAATGACTGCAGATGTGTACATTGACTTGTTAAGTGAAAATCTGGAAGTTTCGCTACTGAAAACTGGCCTGGAATCCAATTACATTTTCCAACAAGATAATGGCCCAAAGCACACAGCGAAGAAAACAACGGCATTTTTCAAATCAAATCGGCTCAAAACGCTGGAATGGCCAATCTCCCGATCTCAACCCAATTGAGAATTTGTGGTCTTACTTGGTCAACAAAGTGGATAAAGTATCGATTTCCAACAAAAACCTTTATTTTGAAGCACTTGGAGCAGCGTGGGAGAATATCGATTCTGGATATCTACAAAACCTCGTCGAAAGTATGCCAAGATGGTTTGAAGCAGTGTTGAAAGCAAAGGGTGGTCATACCAAATACTGAGAGTGTTAAAACGTAAGTTGAAAGTTGAATTAAACAAGAATTTTCAATAAGAAATCAGGAGTATGATTTATTTTGTCCGACTCGAAATTCTCCTTTTACAACTTATAAATGATGATAGAGAAAGTCATACAATATATTGAATATTCTATACCTGCACAGTTTTAGCGAAAAACATACAGAAGTATTTCAGAACAAACCATTCTTGTATGTTTGAATCTACCTGATATATCGAGCTCCAAAGAAAAAATATATGGGTGTATGATTTATTTTGTCCAGTACTGTATACTGTAGTCGGTATAATCACATAAACACATCATTGAAACTATTTCTAGTCTGTTGATGGAAACACAACAAACAAATAAACAAATTGAATGATGATTCATTCTAGATCCTTACTATTTCCGAACTGTTGACTCTTATTACCGATGCCACTTCACGGTTAAGTGACAACTTGTAACTCACGGTGAAGTGATTCCCATTTGATTTACACGTCAATCACTTCACCGTGAGTGCCAACTGGTCACTTCACTTGACACCCATGATAAGGGCTGATTACTATAAAAACAAAATAGCTGTAGATTATTCACTCTCCATACTAATCCGGATCTGACAGCCTATTGACCTGTATCAATTGGGAGTAAACAAACCTTAGCAACGAATAAATTCATCGCTCAACAGTGTTGCCGTTTTATATAATATTCTTCGTGACAAACTTGTCAACGTGTTCCTTAACGTGCCGAACAATGTGCCATGCTGTGTTTTGGCACACTGTGCAAAGTTGATCTTACCGACTGAGCTAAGGGAAGCCCATATGGGAGGAAGTATAAAGCCAAAAAAATAAGATAGTCCCGGTAGATTGAAATGTGCGTCTGGAAGGATTTTCACAATACATACAAACTGAACAAAGATTTATGAAACATTGTTTGAACTAATAATTACAAATATATTATATACTTCATTCATTTTTTACTTACCATCATTAATTGGAGCTGAAAGGTTTTTGGTTAAAATGTATATAGCTGACAAGTCCACTAACAAAAAATAAAGTATCAAATGAAAGACACTTATCTGTCAAATTCGTGCATTTTAAAATAACGTATTGATGCATTTAATTGACAACTGGTTTGACAAATGAAATGATTTTGGTAACCATGTTTCAATCATCGAACGTCTAGTGTGTAATCTGAAATAAAAATTGTGGAAAAAGCTCCTTATTACAAAACGAAACACCATTATAAACGTTTGTGTATTCTTCCAATTCATTTTTCAGCTATCAACCTTATTATCGTTGATTTTGTGCTTTGTATAAGGTTTTCCTTTGGCTTCCTTTGAATAGACATCTTTGACTTTATGACGCACAAGGGACTAGTTTAAATCGGCAGGGATCTCCATGACATTCCGCAGATTTCGTTGAACTCTGATCCCACTCTAAAGATCTTCTGCATCTTCAGCTTCAACGTTCTTCGGTTTACCTTCATCCGGATGCTGTAATGTAAAATTGAAATAAGGTTAACGGTTAACTTTCAATGCTTTTAGGAGTTCCCAAAGGAACTTTCAGCTTGAAAACATAGCTGTAGTCGAAAGGACTGGTAATTGAATCAGGGGTATTCTACAGCTGTCAAACTCCCTACACGGTAACCAAAAAACGAGACTATCCATACAATAACTTAAATTATACGCATTTATAAGTAATTGCTACACGCAGAGAAAATTGACCTTATTGAACCAAAAAAAAAATATTATTGAAATATTTTGCAATGTCAAATATAACTTTTTTTGAATTCAATATTTATATTTTGTAGCTTCAAAAATGTTTTTTGTTGTTTTCATTGCAAATTCTGAAAACAAATATATTGTAGATTCAATAAAATATATTTTTGTCTTCAAATATTATTTTAACTACTTTTTAAAAATATATTGTAAATTTAAAAGCAACACTTTTCCAAAACATACACAGGCTCATTTTGTCATTGTATGTGTGTGTTTTCAATGCCTGTGCATGCTCGGCTTCCCAGTCTCGTCGGAAGAAGTTCTTTTTGAACAAGTTGCTTTCTTTGTAAGGAATTCAGTATTTGCATTTTAATACGTGTTTTAACGATTTTTTCCCCCAATTCCAGCAAATCAATACACCGTGGAAACGTTGCCCGTTTCGAAACGCAAACTATTAATTTACATACCGTTAATGAGAGGTCATAATTTCGGTATTTTTTGTATAATTGATAAACCTATTGAATCACTATTTGTACCGTTTGTTAATAAATAGAAAATGAAACCAAAAACAATTCTTAAATTTATTGAAAATTATTTCTCGAATAGAAAAACTGCTAAAATTAAAAATTAAAATATTTATGCCAAACCAATTTTATTTTTAAATTATTAAAAACAATTTGTTATTTGCAGCAGTTTTTTTTTAATAAAAGAAAGTTATTGTTGGTAGCAACTTATTTTTTTTTATCAAAAAAAGATTTTGTCTGTTTGAAAATAAATATTGTAAATTCAACAAAATATATTTTTAATTGCGTTTTTGACAGATTTTGAAAACAACAATATTTTATGTCCGAACAATAAAGATTTATTGTTGAATTCAATAAAAAAAGTTATTAGCCGGGGAATGATAATTTTTGTTGTTGTTTTTAATACATAATATCATTGAAATTAAAAAACTTTTTTCTGCGTGTAGTACAAAAATTAAACACATTTTATGGGGTAGTCCCGTTTTCCCTCGAATTGCAAAAGTATTGTTTCATGTCCAAATAACCTAGATTTTTCGGTCTATTGATTCATTGCTAAAAATAGTATCGATATTTTCAAAATATTCCATGATGCGTTAGGTCATTATATGGCTAAATGTTTAAAGCCTACTAAAATATTAAGGGGTAATAATAATTATATATATATAAAAAAAAAGTGCAATTGTTAAAAATTAAAATCTACGTTATTTGAACATTTTCATGCTTATTTTCTATTATATTTTGCAATTCACTATATATTTAATAAACTTCAAATAAAGCATGTTATATATTTAAAATTATATTGTATACTCATAAAATGCGGGGACGGGAGGGAGCATCAGAGTATCATTGAAGTTGTAACTGGACAATGGAGTGGAGTGCCAGCCGGAGTCTAGGAGGAAATGTTCTGTCATTTTAGATAGTTGCATTTTACTCCAACAGTTGCAATGAATTTGACGCGCTCTTCTCAAACAAACCATCCCGTGGAAAACTTATCATGTATTGCGAATTTCGTGGTTCGTTTTGTTGGATCATATTGCTGGAAGAAGATTCTTTTATTCCCGCGAGTGTCGCGTAAGTGTATCTGCTTACGAGCCCGCCCAATCCTTTTTGGCCCTTCATACAGCAATATGTTGAATTCAGAATGATTACGAAATTTGATCTTGCTGTTAAGTGGAGCCGCATGCAGGGCAAGACCCAAGCTAGGATGGTGGCTTCTTACATACATACATACATACATACATAGTCCCGTTTTCCCTCGAATACGCATACTTTATAGTCTAAATCATGGTGATACAGCTTTGTCACTATATAGGCGAGGAGGTCGCGGGGGGGGGGGGGGGGGGGGAATGCGGTTTTAGTGCAAATTGTGAACAAACTCGGTCGTTGGTCAAATTCCAACATGGCTGAATCACGAATTTGACACATCAGAACACCTATATGTAGCCACCTTGGTCTAAATGTTAGTCATTTCTAGATAGAGCTGGAATTAGGGCGTAACAGCTTTTGTAAACAATGACTTCTATCGATGATTTCTAGGAACTCAAGGAATGCCCACGCAGACCAACATAACCATCTGATAGGGGAAGTCTTTCTCTACCCGATGAGGATTTCTAGAAATCATCGATATAAGTCATTGTTTACAAAAGCTGTTAGGCCCTAATTCCAGCTCTATCCAGATTTTTGCGCATTTTGCAATACGGATGCATATTCTGATTCAATGGCAAAACTAACAGGTTGCTTCGATATTCCATCAACATGAATGTTTCAACATGTGTCTCAGAACTAGGTAGCACCCTGAATTGAACCCTCCACTGAGTACATACCTTATCGTCATAATGAATATTTAGCAGACGATGAGTCATAAACTTGACGCCACATTTGTTGCATCGCATTTCTGAACAGCTTTTCTCATGACGACGTAGAAGGTTGGCAAAATGAAACGGTTTTTGACAAATGGAGCATTTGTACCGTGGCTTTTCATGAGATACGCGCTGTAAACAAAACAAAACCGTTAAATTGTTCAATTTCTCAATCAAGAAATGCTTCAACTAACCTTGTGATACCTCATTTTGGGTAAGCTAGCAAAGTTTAGTTCACAAATTGAGCACGGCCAATCACCAGTGCTCTGAGTCACAAGGGACTCGTTTTGGTCGCTAGCAACTCCATGGCATTCCGAGGTTTCTGCTGTACTCTGATGTGCAGTAAGGATCTCATCTACATCTTCTATGTATTCTTCTTTGACTTTGATTTCATTCTCTAGATCTTCAGCATCTTCAGCTTCAACGTCCTTCGGTTTACCATCATCCGGATGCTGTAATGTGAAATTGAAATAAGGTTAATCGTTACCTTTCAATGCTTTTAGGAGTTCGCTAATGAACTGCAACAGTTTGAAATCATAGTTGTGGTCGATAGAACTGAATCAGGGGTATTCTACAGCTGTCAAACCCCCTACACGTTAACCGCAAAAATTCTTTTACACATTGAACAAACACCAGGGTGCTCTTCCCAGGAAACATTGCAAGTTTTATCGAAGTTTTAAAGCATTCTACAAGTCTAAATAACGGTCCACAAAATGGGGATCCGCACAGTGCGCTGATTTGTTGAAATAAAAATAAATAAAAACAGTCAAACATAAAGTTTGCTAGCTTTTCTCCCATTGTAATCGTAAAGCAGCGGAGAAGAAAAGAAAGACACCAACCCAGAAATAACGGAAACGCAAAGTGTAGCAACCGTACTCCATGTTTTGTTCCATGCGTTAATTTTACCACCACTCTTTGTGTAGATTGCTTCCTCAAAGATAATTTGGATAAGAGTGCGAAGCAAATGGGAGAACTACACTCTCTTGTTAAAATTTACTCTGCATACACTCTGAGGCGATTTCCAGCACTGAAATCCATGATGAGCATTTTCCATGCTACTTTAAAATAAAGCAAGTGGCTTAGAGCACCGCCACGGGAGGCGCTATCTCTATCCCTATAATAAGGCTCCATCTAGGTAGCTATTTTAGCTTAGCACCCCATTCTTCCACCGGTAATGCATATTTTGAGTTTAGTGACTTGAGTAATGTCTTTTCATCGGGTATTGCTAAAACTCAAAACAATATACATACCCACGAAGAACATCGTCATATTGATGTAATATTTCATTTTTATCAGTCGATCGATGTGCAATAGTTGTGTAGTTATATCATGAATATTCCAAATGCATTGACGGCAGATTGTTTCCCGGGAGCAGCTGATTCCATCGTTTTAAGTGACGAGGAAGACATTGAAGTTGTAAATCATTATGTTTACCAGTCACATGAACTGTTGTTAAGGGCTTTGGAAGAAGACGAGAAAAATCGAGCTGGAGGATCTCGGCCTGGAAAAAAACCGAATATCAACAGAGGTGCTCATCTAGGAGCTGAGCGACTGTTTCATGATTACTTCTCCGAGAATCCCACGTATAGTGATTCACAGTTTCGGCGGCGGTTTCGAATGTCCCGAAACTTGTTTACAAAGATTGTTGCAGAAATAGAAGCCGCGAATCCTTACTTCGTGCAAAAGCGAGATGCGGCTGGTAAACTAGGATTAACTGGCCTTCAAAAATGCACCGCCGCAATCCGTCAGCTTGCATATGGCATGCCAGCGGATGCTGTAGATGAATACATCAGGATGGCAGAGACAACAGCGCTGAAATCTCTTGTGAAGTTTTGTGAAACCACTGTTCGTATTTACGGCCCAAAATTGCAAAAAAAAACGAAACGAGCTTATTGAATAATAATACTGTGATAACCATCACAACGAAACAAAGAAAAAAACTCATTCGGAATCTGACGGCAAAATGGAACTATCTTCGGAGCAAGACTCATTCTCTGAATTGGATGGCGCCTCGGCACACGCCTCGGGAACCCAGATGCTCTCATCAGTGTTGGAATCTGCGTTTGATCTCGCATCCAGGATATGAATAGAGCCTGCGTCATATTCATCCTCAGAATCAGCAGGTGGGGTTGGAACGATTTTGGTGGCATCGTTGCTGTTTGAATCGGCATTTACTTGCGGACCCGGAGGCATTGCTGTGTCGTCTTCATTGATGGGTACTTCCAAAAGAATCTCTTCATAAGACTGGCCGCAACCAAATTGTCCCACATTATCCATAGCAGCTTTTCGTGTTTCGTTAAGGATACGTGTTTGTTCCAGAATATAGAATTCTCTGGCCATACCAGTCATTTTATCCAAGTCGATTGACATTATAGCATGGTTCACCATTTGCTTGTAAGCCACAGTTCTCTGGATGCTGTCTTCGAGTTTTTTTTTGGTCAAAGCAGCTAAAATTCTCCCATTATCTGCCATTGCCATACTAGCATCCGCCAAGCTTTTCCTTGACGCTTCCGCTGTTTTGCTTGCTTTCTGTCCCATTGGCCGAGAACATCCAGCTCCGGAAGTATTCTCCGCTTCGTCACATGGTAATCCAACTGCTTGCTCCTCTTCCGCTTCTTGAGGAGTGGCTGAGCGTTTACGCCTCCCAGTTACTGTTGATTTCTGAACAAAAATATGAAAGAAATCATTTTGTACATACATATTCAAGCTGGAAAAACCTACCTGTTTTGCTGTGGCTTGTTGGATCCATTTTGGAGCACCCTCCAAAATCTTGAAGCAGTGCATCAGACTGAATGATGTTCCTTCCTTGGTGTTATACAGCATAAGCGCTTGCTGCAACACGTCCTCCGGAGAAGCACCGCTTTGTTGCCGGGATTGAACCTGTGCCAGGCAGCCAGCAAACTTATTCACGCTTCTGTTTATGGTTGACCACCTGGACTTTATCCCTTTCATTCCCCGCCGCTCGGGGTCAACAGCAAAGTTTTTCTCCCGGCAGATTTCTGCAAACATTTGCTGGATTCTGCCATACAATGTTTCTGCCTTCTGATTTGTTCCTGTGATGGGGTCCTGGGACACATCCAACCACGCGAGACAAAGCGCCGTATCTTCTTCGGATGTCCAGCTTTTTCCTCTTGCTTTGGTATTCATCCTCAAAAAAAATGAAATCTAATGCACTGCGAAACAAATCGAAACGTAAACTTAACCACGAAACGTAAACAGAAAAAGTGCGAAGCAGAGCAGCAGTGTCACAAGCAAACAAAATAGCGACCCAGTGCAGAGTTTTAGTGGGGCGCCAAATATGAAAACTCATAACTTGATTTTTGTTGCGTTCTCATTTCCCAACCCCGTTTAGCTACTACCGGTGCGGGCATAAGTTGCTATATGGGGCACGAAAATAGAGATAGGGACCCGTATGGGGACTCCCGTGGCGGTGCTCTTAGAGCTTCCACTGTTCAGCCAAAATTCTAATTCTGCAATGCTGCAACGATTTTGTGAGGATGACGCCAAGCATATTTTCAGTTGGACAGTATTCTAGTCTATATAATATGCTTCTTCTCTTGCAAATCCAAACCATAGAAATATTTTGTTTCAATGTGCTTCGAGCGTTTCTAGATTCGATCACTATTAACTAACTCTATACAGCTCTTGTTGTCTTCGTATGTCGGTACTGCCTTTGAGACATCCTCGCCAAAATCAGCTAACAACTTCTTCACCCAAGTGAGCTCTTGACATGCTTCTGCCAATGCCACGAACTCTGCCTCTGTAGACGATAGGGCGACGCAGCTCTGCTTTCTGGATGCCCAGCTTATGATGCCGCCCCCGAAACGAATCAGGAAACCGGTCGCGATGATTGCCATGCCCAATTAGCATCCGCAAAAAGCTCCAAGTCTGTGTTTGCCGATCCCAAGTTCAATCTGTGGTCTTCAGGTACTTGAGCATCCTTTTCGCTTCCTGCCAATCTAGCTGCGTGGGACTACTCGACTTCTGTGCCTGAATCGATGTGCTAACCGTTATGTCCGGACGCGAATGAACTTACCCTTCAGCAAACCACCTATCAGTCTGAGGTACTGTGCGTTGCTCGGGTAGGCCAGATCCAAAGGAATCTTGGACGGTTTAGCATCTTTTAACCGTTGGTTCAGCTTGAATCCACTAGAATCCCACTCGAATTCGATCCCGAGAAAGTGCTTCACTTCCCCAAGGTTGGCAGCTTCGAAGTTCTTCTGCAGCTCACGGAACATTGCTGCAAATTCCTCGTCAGTTTGAATGACAATTAGCATGTCGTCAACATACAGTAGGACAAACGTGATTGAGCTTCCCCTACGTAGGATGTACAGACACAGATCTGCTGTCGAAGGCTTGAACCCCATTGTTTGGAACACTTCATCGATCCGCTGGTTCCATACACGGGCGAATTGTTTTAGCCCGCATATGCTCTTCCTCACCTAGCAGACGTGGAGTATTCTTCAGGCTGCTTCATGTAGATGGGCTCTTCCAACTGTCCATCAAGGCACGCGGTCTTCACATCCACGTTTTTCCCTGACATCCGACGGCGGCTTGGTTAGTAGAGATCGCAAGGTGACAATCTTTCAACTTGCCTGCCTCAACGCCGGTGATTCGGGCGGATATAAAGAAGTGTTGCGCAGAAGTTGTCATGTTGTCATCAAGGGCAGGTCCGACGGTATCGCCATATTCACTTCCAGCATCGTCTTCATCATCAGGAACAGCTTCAGCGCCAGAATCGTGTTCATTATCAGGTACAATTTAAATTTGCTCGGTGCCACAACAGGATGTTGAGCCCCATGGAATTTCATTTCCAAGGTCCTGTCGAATTACTGTCGGTGCCTCTGTTGTCGTGACATCATTAGGAAGTCCTACCGCTTATCCTTCACGAATGAATTTTACATCCCGGCGCTTGATGATTTGCTTTGCTTTCGGGTCTCATAAACCCAGTGATAATGCATTCATGTGCCTTGGCATCCCACTTCTTACGCTTCGGTACGTGGGCCATCACTAATGAACCAAAAATACACATATCCGTAGGCTTTGCTTCTTGCCGCTGCAGACCTCCTCCTGAGTTTTATCGTGCACCTTCATCGGATAATGATTTACCAGATAAACCGCTGTTACTGCTGCTTCTGGCCAAAAACTTGTTGGTTCGGTTCACACGTTCTGCCAGTCCGTTTTGCTCTAGCGTGTAGTCCATCGATGTCGGATGTCGGTGACGGATTCCTATACAGTTCAAATGGTCACCGAAGAGCTTGTTGGCAAACTCCTTTCCGTTATCGGTTCGTAGCACTTACCAGTCTGTCTTTCAGCCATGCACCGAAAATATTCAAATACCTTGAACACGCTTTCCACCGACTTTTCGTTCAAGAAATACGCACTTATTCTCCGCGACTTGTCATCGATGAAGGTTAGATAATACCGGCTGCCACCTAAAGACTCCACCTCCATTGGCCCGCAGATGTCTGAGTGTACCAGTTCCAGCCGACATTGCTGAAAGCCACACGAGTTAGCTTACCCAATGCACAAGTCCTGCAATTTTCATCCTGGAATCGATGCCCGAGACCAGGCCGTTTCTCAGACGCTGTAGACTGTTGAAATTGTTATGACCCATCCTTCTGTGCCACAGATCAATAGTGGCCGCCGACGAACAAACCAATGCTCTTGTAGACGGTAGTTTGAATAGACCGTTCGTACGACTCCCTGTGTCGATGACGTGTCCCTCAGGATTTTTCACCGTGACATCTTCGGTGTTGATTTTTTTTTCAAATTCTATTATAGAGATTTTTAGCTGAAGGCAAGTCGGTGTTGAAGGTTACGGTGCGATCTCGTACAACGATTTGATCTCCTGAATCACGTGAACTCAGTGCACCTCAATCGGAGGATTTTTGGGACAGCACTCAGGCCTCAGCTTCTTGCTTCCCTTAGCAACCACTTTCATTGCATCTCTGTTGGCAGCTATCACCATTCCGCCGTATTGCTGGACGTTTTCCAAAGTATCAGCTGCTATCATCCTCTACGGTCGTTGAAAGGACCGTGCACCACGCGTTACCTTTCTTTGATTCCTTATGAGGATACTCCTTGGGAATGTGCCCATACTTTTGGCAACGTCGACATTTGAAACTAATGTTCTGCCCGACAACAACTCAACAGCACGAGGCTCCTTGAACTGAGTCTTATAGTCGGTGCACTACTGGGCAAACTGGAGGGGCTACGCGGACGAAAAGGCACTCAAGCTTTCAAATGAACTGAAACACAGCGCAGATCAACTTAAACACTGTATTTTTTCCCAATTAACGATAGTGTGGATTGTGGGGTGTTGTGATCGATTTTCTGGCACATACCCTTGACGACGATGGCGACTATGAAGACTGCAGTCCAGCTAGCGCTCGTTGCGGTTCCGGAATGATTCTGTCGATGGCGGACGATGAAAGGCCGATCTTGTCGGCAAGATGGCGGAACCACCGTTCGGAGAAATTCCGGTACAATTCCGACAATGGCGGATGAAGCAAGGCTGACCGAACGTCGGCTGTAGTGCGATGGCGGGTTGGGTTTACCGGTGTTAGTATAGCGGTTTTTGGAGATGGTTCCGATGTATAGGCGCTTCCATCTGATGAAGCCGGTCGACTACGACAAGGCCGTCCTCTGTCGAAACGGGAAGGGAAATTCTCCTTGATGTTTATGGCCTTCAGCCCGAGAATGATTCCTTTACGTTTAGGTCAAGGTAGCTAAATGTCACCTAGACCGTAGCGTGCCATGGCGGTCCTTGACTCGACAACCAGAAAACAATTTGATCAGTTGAAAAAGGTCCTAGCGAGGAGGTAACATCCATTAGTGCCGTTCTTCGCCCAATTTCGAGGATGACTTAGACTTTACCTGAATCAACTGAATTGGTGATTTACACTTCACCTTGATTCACTACTCGCACTTAGTATTCTGTTAAAGTATACACCACAGACACTTCTGGTCTACACGCTCGCCTGAGATAAGATAAGCATCGCAAAACCCTTCAGCTTCAGCACCCGTGACTCCGTGTCACAATTTTTCCGCGGCCATGCACACCTTATTCAGCAGTCGGCCGTATCGTCTGCCCTGTGGGTTTCACCGCAAGTGTTATACAAATTTACTTGAATGCTCGATCACATGGTGCATATTTAAAATTTTGTATTGGACCTTTGTAACAGAACGGTTACACATTTGGGACCTTTACCTTGAGGCACTGGTTCACTTTGCTTCAATCTTCGACCCTGGTGCTTGTTGCTTGTAAACGTGCCGTTGACGACGTTGACACACGTAGTTCCTGCAGCACCCGCTAGCAAAAGCATACCAATCCACTCGTCGCTGATGTCAAACCGATTCCTCGCAACTGGTGGACAGTTGTTATTACCGTGTTGACGTACGTTTCCATGGAGCCCCGCGCTCTTCTGTCCTTCAATGCGTCGACAGTAGGATCCGTTCCATCCGCATTCGGCGTTGGCTTCAGGCTTCACTACTTCCCACAGGTCTTCCATGTCTGGCCAATTATCTCGACCCATTAGAAGCTGAATCGACGGCAAAGGGCAAGACAACTTAGATATATTTGAAAATATCATCCAATATTTCTAAATATCACCGAAAATACTAAAATATTTTCAAAAACTAATATATGTTAAAGATAGAGCTACTGTTCTGAGCAATGTTTGTTATACGAATACTTTTGATATACTCAGATAAGGTGTCCTGCCCCTGATTGGGATCAGATTTTATTACGAAACCTCAGTATATTTGTGGAAATATATGACAATTTCGAGATCACAGGCAAGGGAAATTTTAAAATCTGTAATTTTTTTGAAGATATATTGGTCGTAGAAAAGTGACTTTAGTGACTGAATTTTAAGAAATAATGACTTAGTTATTTTTTGATTGAGTCAATGGCAAAACTAACAGGTTGCTTCGATATTCCATCAACATGAATGTTTCAAAATGTGTCTCAGAACTAGGTAGCACCCTGAATTGAACCCTCCACTGAGTACATACCTTATCGTTATAATGAATATTTAGCAGACGATGAGTCATAAACTTGACACCACATTTGTTGCATCGCAGTTCTGAACAGCTTTTCTCATGACGACGTAGAAGGTTGGCGAAATGAAACGGCTTTTGACAAATGGAGCATTTGTACCGTGGCTTTGCATGAGATACGCGCTGTAAAAAGAAAACCGTTATATTGTTCAATTAAAGAATCAAGATCAAGAAATGCTTCAACTAACCTTGTGGTACCTCATTTTGGGTAAGCTAGCAAAGTTTAGTCCACAAATTGTGCACGGCCAATCGTCAGCGTTATGAGCCACAAGGGACTCGTTTTGGTCGCTAGCAACTCCATGGCATTCCGAGGTTTCTGCTGTACTCTGATGTTCAGTAAGGATCTCATCTTCATCTTCTATGTATTCTTCTTTGACTTTTATTTCATACCCAAGATCTTCAGCAACTTCAGCTTCAACGTCCTTCGGTTTACTATCATGAGGATGCTGTAATGTAAAATTGAAATTAAGTTTACGGTTAACTTTCACTGCATTTATGAGTACGCAAATAAACTGGGTCAGCCCTGGGTGATTAAAACGGAAACCGGATATTATCGGACTTTATGTGCTTGTTGTGAAGTTTACTGATATCGTTGATCCGGACCAATCTTTTCCGGCCAAAGTCACGAGTTCAAATCTCACCCCTTATAAGACATGAATTATCCAAGAGTGTTATTATTAAAAAAAAAGTATGCAAGTAAAGTCACCTAAAAGTTCTTTTTCCCTTAGTAAATCCCATATAAATAAATAAATAATATACATTCAAGTACCAATCCAGTTTAATGTTTAATGGACAAGCTATACAAACCTAGCAAACCTTAAGCTGGCGAGCACTTACCAATGTTGTAGCGGATGAGCTCCTTGGGTCTTCATTTGGAACTTGGTATTCCTGTTCCTGCAGTATTGTTTCCTCTACTTTAATATCCAGCTCCAGATCATTATTCTCACCTTGCAGAAATACTATCGTGGAATCAGTTTGAGTTTCCTTCGTCGCAGGAAGCAGTGGGACTTCCTTTGCACCGATCTGAGAATCATTGTGCTCATTTGCGAGCTTTGGACAGGTTAGCTGAAATAGACAATAAATAGGAACAATACAGTAAAATTCTGGCATATTCAGAAAATAATGCTCCATATAATCTTTGAACAAATCAACGAGTTCCAAACCCATGTATGTTTTTCCCCATAACGGATTAAAGAGTCTTCATTCTACCTTCACTGATATGACCGAGAGGACGATGCCAGAGATCAGAATCCTCAGCATCAGCCAAACTTGCATAGGGTTATTGTACCTCCATTTCCGATACAGGTTTTAACCGTCAGGTCAGTTGAAATTGTTTCACCGCTTTTCTTTAACATTGCAAACCTTTCCATTGAATTGTACTTCTCCGCGTTCGTGAGCTTTTTCACCGACATGATATTATCCCTGGAACGTACAGGACATCTTTCCTACACACTTAGATTCGAAACCAACTCAGAATATTACCGAAGAGAGATCCCTTAATAAAAAAATACCATAAACGAATGATAGCCCAAATAATAGAACTATTTCACAAATGGTTTGGATGATACCCCGAACACGTCGTTAAGCAAAATAACCATAACTAATTTATTAAAGTAGTTTGCTTCTCTTTTTGAGAACGAGAAACATGTGCGCAAACTTCCAGCAGGATGGAAATATGCCACTGAAAAGAGACATGCGGAACAGACGATGAAGCGGTCTTAACAACCGGTGGAAACTAACGATTTTAAATTGGCTCACTACTTGACTAGCCTATTGCTCCCAAGCAAATCGATGAACGTACCCCATTCTAGTCGAAATTCTAGTACTACACTGTTTTGATTCGCTATGAAAGGTTAACAGATAAAATGAGGGGTTCGTGTATTTTCCTATGTTTCGAGGGGTGCATCAATTAGCATGGGACCAAAGAGAGTACCAGAGCTGAGCCAAAAAGTTGAGCACGTTTCATTCTAATCTAATCTAACACCAACACAGCCAGTTCCTGAAAGCAGCCTGGAAAATGATATATATACCTACATCATTTTTTCTTGTCTATTTGATATATGTTCCACATCGAAGATGCGTCACACATATCAAAACGGTCAGGCCTACTGTGCAGTATTTAAGGGGCAAGATGATTCAGAAAACATCGGGCCTGTTGAAATCGAAGATTTAAACACGATGCTTCAGAATCCAAAATAAATGGATGAAACGTGGACATCTCGTACCGTACGTTCCGATTTTGGTAATTATATGATTGGTTGGTCGTTGGAAGCATCAAAGCTAGAAAGGTTAAGTGATGCTCCATTTTCTTCTGACGGTTGGGGCATGAGCACTAACTCTTATCCTAGCCTTTCATGACTTATGGCTATAGCGCCATTACTCGCTTTCTGAAAAGAGAAAAGGGAAAGGAAAAGGAGAAGGACAAAGGGGAAAGGATTATGTGAAATCTATGAACATAAACAATATTTTTGATTTGAAATATACAATATAGAAATTCATAACGGCGGTGGTCACTACCCGATTCTTGTCACTATTATTAAGTCAATTCGGAATATGCTCTTCACCATGCAAATTTGAAAATCACTTATGCAGTTTGACACTAATTTAAAAATCAGTTAAATTACTCATTTGACCTAGTGACCCCTTGGGCCTAGTTACATTCGGCTTATTAGCGTCTGTTGACATCTGGCCATGTGGAACTTGTCTACGCTCTTGCCATCAAGCTATGTCGCCAATCCTCCTCAATGGTGGGTCTTCCCATCTCCTAGTATCCCCCTTAATCATCCGGAAGAAATGATTTCCTGACTGTAAGCATTCCGCATTTTCAGCAGTTTAATATTGGCGATTATCTCTAATCCAAGCCAACCTGATTTGGAAGCACTGGGTAAGCGACTACTTGCATGAGCATCAGCATGAGCATGATTAACCGCCCACGGTTGCTGCTCTGTTATCGCCAGATCAGCTGCATTTTCACAAAGAACCAACAGATGATGTTTGGGACTAACATTCATCCGCAATGTGTAAAAACAGCAGATCTAATACCTGGCCGTGTCCGAATGCAGGTCAAAGGGAATGGGAAGGAATGTGTTGACATGACACTCGCTGTGAAGGAAACCTAGAAGTCCTCTGCGCTTCCACGAGAAATTACTGGGATATTGAAAGTGGGGAAAGGTTTGCAGCATGGATCGCTTTGGTAAACTAATGCTGATTGTAGCGTACACAGGTGACTATAAACAGAACATCAAATGATATTTGTTTGTTTATGTCTTCCTCTTCTTCTTAGCATTTCAAGCTTATTGCATATCACATATTAGCTTATTGCGTGCTCTCAACTTAGTGTTCAAGGTGCACTTCCACAGTTATTAATTGAGAGCTTTCGATGCCTGTACCATTTTTGCATTGGTATAATTGTGTGGCAAGTCCAATCATACTTCTATGTCCAGGGAAGTCGAGAAATTTTCCAACCCTAAAAATTCCTAGACCGGACCGGGAATTGAACCCAGCCACCTCCAGCATGGTCTTACTTTGTAGCTGCGCCTTTACCGACTGAGCTAAGGGAGGCCGTTGTTTATGTGTTTGCAGTTAAATTTACAACTATTTAAATCAAATAAATGGAAAGCTCTCATTAATGGAAAGCTAATTCTGCAACCATTTCTGGTTGTTCAACGCTGTTGATGATCATCATCACAAGTGAATTAATTAATAGGAACGAACTCCCCCAATGAATCCATGAGTAATGTCAATGGTGAAATTGCATGGCGCTGCCCTTGACCGCTTCCTCCACCTCGTACTGAGGATACTTTTCAACTGAAATAACATGTTGCTTCTCCTTGAATACACCTTGATCCATGGTGATTTCTTTTAATCTGGGGAATTTCCTGTCTGTATCTGTGATTAAAAGAGTCTCCAGGATCACCACTTGTGGGTCGCTTCTCCGTGACGTCGTCGCAAACGAAAGAACGTCGGGGGTTCAGTGGGGGAGTTTGTTTTCGGAGCTTGACTCTTTGCTTGAACTCTTTGTTATCGACTTCTGGTTGGTTTTTTACTGTTATAAAAATACGACGAAATATATTTTCCTATTTTTTACTCGCCAAATAAACAGCGGAGAAAATGCACGTCAAACTTGTTCAAAGGCAGAGCCTACTATCCAAAAAGTTGAGCACGTTTCATTCAGCGTTAACATCAATTGCACCCAGTGTTTGACCGTTTACTGTAACGTTCCTGGCAACCATGGTAACATGGTTGTCACTTAAGGTCATTCCTTGTAGAGTCCACAAATGACCGCCACGTAGGCTATACATGCACTTCCACTTCGAATGTTCAATTACACAAATCTCGGAAGTCAGTACTCTATTTCATTTGAAATTGCTAATTGGGTTCGGTTTTTCTACATCATCTGAAAGAGCTTCGTTTTCTGAGCACAGCGATATTTTTTTCGAATCCACACATTTTCATCCCGGTTTTTAAATCAAGACTTAAAGCAAAATAATAACTTCACTGTTTGACGCTAAACTAAAATGGTGACAGCTTGCTCCCATACAAAGTGACACCGAGGGGCGCTAATAAGGTGATTTTTGCAAATGTAATCGTACTTATTTAAAATAGTGCCAGATTACCAATATTGATAAAATTTTGGGGTTGGATTCCATTTTTAATGCAGATTACGAATATGCATTTACCTCAATACCCTTAAAGAACCCAACTCATGTATTGCCAATTCAGAGAAAAATTAACATTTTGCGTTAGATTATCAGCTTTAATAGCATGCTGTGGCTATCAGTTGTGTCGAATTATTTTCCCTGAAACAGCAATATGATGCAGTGCAGCAAACGTGGAGTAACAATTTGAATGTTGCACTTGTCGTAGAAGCTGATATTTGTGCACTTAAAGCACCTTAAAGTTTCGAAGTGGTTCCGAGAATAAGGATGTGACAGCGATTCACTTTAATATCACATTAATGCATACACTGGCAAACTTGTCGGAAAAGGGTGGCTTATATCCTTAGCGGTGGCAGCAACTTAGCCGCTGAATTCCATAGACGAAGAGAGGCCGGACTCCCTGCGTTGCTCATTCACGAAGTTCCGAAAGGCTGCTCTCTTGATTGACTTCAACCTACGTAGATAGCTCGTCTGCCAGGGAGGGTGAGAAACTTTGTGGTGAGTTATTTTCGAGACGTGTCTGTCAATGACATATGCCAAGACATGTGAAAAGGTTTGCGTGGCAGTCTCAACGTCATCAGGACCAAGCATGCTCTCCCATTCCATCTATGATGCTACTGGTGGTCAGCTTTACGGAAGTCACAAGAAACCGCACAAGGATTATCGTCGAAATCACGCACAAGTTTGTCCTCAACAGTCCCCCTTATTCTGCGCCACGAGTGAGGTGAGGTGACTCGCTGTCAGTAGGGAGATGACAAAAGTCACCGTGTAATTCAAATGGAGAGTCACCTCACTAGTGACAGCGAGTCCCCTCTCCTCACTCGCGGCGCAGAATAGGCCTCAGTGAGGATTAGAGGAGGGTGATGCGGAACTGGCCTAGTTAGTGCACAAGGATCCGAGGAAATTAATCAAACCCTGTCCTGTGTGCTCACGATGCAGAGGTCCAAACTACGATTATTTTCGTTAACTAGATGGTTAATTTAAGAAAGCGTTACTGCGCTGTAATTGTTGAGGGTGTAGATGTAGAATGCACCTTTTTTTGGCAAACAATATATTGAGCTGTCAATAACTCGCGCTTATTCCTGCTTATACACTACACCAACCAAAACCAAAAACGATATAGGGGAAACGCTCCTATTTTGGCCATGTTTTGGCGATATTTAACATTTTCTACAAGTTTAAGATCTTGAGTTCTGTTAAGATTTGTAACCCTCGTCTAGGGTGACAATTAATAACCCACTCTTTTAACGTGTTTGCCATGAGCGTGTGCCTTGTCTATTATGATTTGTTTTTGTTTTGGTCACATGCTCGGCAACATACTCAGCACTGCTTTATTTGTAAATATTTTAATTTGTTGTTTTCTTAGTATATTTTGTTCGTGTAGGCATGTTTTTAGGATTAAAATGTAGTTTAAAAATCATCGTTTTAAATTGTGTCGCGTTTAGAATAAAATTAGGTCCCGTTTCTCCTCCCGCTGCAAAAGAAGGCGAAAAACATAAGCAACACTACAGTCGAGCGCGATTGCAGGAGAACGATAGCGGTTGTTGTATTGTCCGTGATTGTCAGCCAGTACGAAAGACAGGAGAAAGTTACGAACCACGGTTGGAATACGACGCGTTTTATTTTAGTGGAAACGAGAAGTTGGAGTGCCGTTTTCGTGGCGTGTGTCCGCTGGAGGGATAATTCCCAGAATCGTCGCGTTGAAGTGACGTCGTTTCCCTGAAAAGTGCCGTGGTTCGTGAGCTGCATAAGCGAAGGGTGTCGGATCGCCACCAAGGGAAGCTAAGCTTCAAGGATTTTTTCGCTTCCCGGCTAATCTCTAAGGATCCCCGAACACCGCCGTCCTCACTGTGGTGGCTCAGCCAGTAGAGCCAGTCTCGAGCCAGTCTCGAGCCAGTCCCGGACAGGAAGGCTGGGTAGTGCACTGCGGTAACTACCGGGACCATCTACGGCGAGTAGTAAATGAGCCTTGCTCACCCCCCCCGCTAAAAGCTAAGGACCGCTGCTACGTAGCTAAAAGTAGAGTAGGAGACGCTCGACACAGACTGTGTCTGGAGCCGACGTGAACAAGCAACAACCGCCGCTATCGTCGAAGGGCCCCACCGAATGACACCGAGGAGAAAAAGGGAAAGGTCAGAGTAGAATAGACTTATCAATCCATCCAAATCCGAACGTCTTTGGGGGAAGTACTCTACTCGTAGCCGCCCCGCCATATAGTTGCTATATTGATGGTCTTGCGGATAGAATCTCGGGAACCAATTTAGCTGTCAAATAGCGGAACCAATCTAGCAAATCACGACCAACAACAGAAAAGAGCACATCTGCTATTGCGAATAAAACTTCGGAAACCCTTTTCTCGTGACTCAAGGATCGCCTACGCAAACTAACACCATCTTTGGGTTGGGGAAAGTTTCCCCTATCCGATGATGTGGGTAATTTGCGTTCAATTGACGAGGAAAGAATAATCAACATTTTGTTTATTAAAGTTGATAGTACCTTTTCAATTGTTGGTCTACAGTATATTGAATTGGTTCCGACCGAAATTCTATCCGCCAGACTATAAATATAGCGACTATACCCTGCCGGGGTAAATCGTGCAAGCTATAGGCTGACGCAACTTACAGATTATTGATTCAAATCCAAATACATATAGCTTACACGACGGACGAAGATTGTGATTCAATCGTGTTTCTGATGTATGACCAAAATAGGAGCCTATGGCCAATACTGGTGCACTTACCCTAATGAAACAAAATAACGAAAAGCGTATAAGACTCATTTCGGCGAAAAATGTCGGCTTCGGCAATACCTTTTTCTATTCTCTACCCTAATAAACAAGTACCATAAACGAACTGCATCCCGGATGGGTAAACTCTATCCCAAAAATGGTTTGGATGATACGTGTTCGTCGTTAAGTTCTCTTTTATGGTTATTTTTATTAGGGTAGTGTTCAGTTTTTGCAAAACGATGCTCTGAAATATGTTCAAGCAAAAAATCAGAGCTCAAGTACATTATTTACTTCCTGGCGATAATAGGTAAGCAAATGCCGAATTTTCTCAACTATCTGGATGATTCCGAAGAATAGGCAAAGCTAGAATAATACGTGTGAAAATAATCATGAATAACCATACAAACCTTATGTATTATGAGCTCGTCAGTGCTGGCGAACGTGACTTTGCAAATGATGCATCTAGTCATCCCTTGACCGGCATACGCATTTTTCAAAGGCTTCTTAACTCTGTTAACTGATGCATAAGGGCGACTCATTGGAATATTATGAACTCGTTTCTTGTGGTTCTCTACTCTCTTTGGCCGGTTAAACTTTTCGCCACACAATTCACATGAATGTATTAAACCTACACAATATGCTGCATGCTTTTCTAGCTTATCTTTGAAGTGAAATTTCCTCGAGCAATATGAACATTCGAATTTTCCTTCCGTGTGTTTTGTAAGCTGAAACGAATGGAAATACAAGCAAAACAGTCGGTATCGCAAAGAGACAACACTACAATATCAGTTTAACCAACGTACCTTATGATAAACGATCTGGCCATAGGTAGACAAAGTAACGTCACATGTGTTGCACGAATATTGCTGGTTTGATAGATTTTCAACAGAGGTGTTCTCTGAACCCATCCCGGGTTCCTTGCCGCTATCCATTAAGTCATTATCGCTCTTGTTAGCCAATGAATGCTTATTCGATCGAGAATCTGCAAAAGAACCAATTCTTCGTTATCATTCGATTTTCTATCTTAAGTTTTAATTTTACCCGTTGATTGTCTTGGATCATCACGTGCCATCTTCAGTTTTTTGTTCTGATGTTGAGCCAAACTGCTCTCAGCTAGATGAATGTGCTCAGTATGCCGTTTGAGTGAGTGGGGTTGCTTGAACTTCATTCCACATAATTTACATGAATTCTTATTCTCACACACAAAACTATGTGCATTATATTTTGCTTTGCGGTGAAATTTTTTCTTACAAGTTGGGCACTCGTATTTCGGTTCACGATGACATTTCATCTGCATTGGGAAATAAATTATTTATAACAATATGTATGTGTTCCTGGAAGATGTTACATTTTATCTAGGCAGCAGTGATGGAAAAGTTCGCGAAAACTCACTATGACTCGCGAACTTTTCCCTTGGTGAACTTCGTGAAATATCGCGAACTTTTTCAACACTGCTAGGCAGCAATATAAACTACATGTGTTATAGAGAGTAGAGCAGTTCCAGACCAATTAGGTCAAAAAATAATAATTTTTGATTTGTCCTCCGATTTGCTATGGGCAATTGAGACTAACGAGTGCAACATACCTTATGATTTTTTACTCTTGATAAACCAAGAACAGTTATGCCACAGATGTCACATTTGGTCAGCTCATGGATAATTTGCAAGTGACGTATCAAATGCCCTGGACTGGGAAACTCTTCGTTACAGTAGTCACATTTTGTTTGAGATAAGCCGCTTTTAACTAGAGGCGCTGAATTTTTCTCCATTATGGGACAAGAATCGCTTTCATCGCATAGGCTCGTCTCGGTATACATCTGCTCCTGCTCGTTGCTCCTTTTATATACATGGCAATCGTTGTTCCTATGCAGTTTGACAGCCATTGCATCTTTCAACATTTTACCACAATACTGGCAGGGAACTTTCTGCTTCGCACATCTGGATGCATGTTTTACAACGCGTTGTTTTCCGAAAAACTGTATCAAACAATGTGGGCATTTGTGCTTCGATTCCTTGTGCGTCGCTTTCTGTATTGAAGGGTAAAAACAGTAGAGAAAGTTGAGTACATGCAAAACTCAGTTTACATACCTTATGACGCTGAGCCTCGACAAGACTGGACAAAGTAATTCCACAGAAATCACATGCGACTGGCTCATGGTGGGTCAGAATGTGACGAACCAGGTTGACAGCACTGGACTCTTCTATTCCACAGTGGGAACATTTGGTACTCGAAGAATTATTTCCCGCCACTGATGGGTCACTCCTGTCGTTCAGGATAAGTTGACCAGAATTTTTGAGGCTCATTCGATTTGTATTACTGCTCTGCTCTTCCTGCTTTATTTTCCAATGTTCCGCTTCAGAAGTAATATTTTCAACTTCAATAGGAACTTGTCCATCTTCCGTCTGCTTTCTGACCTTACTCAAGGCATGATGACTCGAAGAATTATCTTCCGTCACTTTTGGGTCACTACTGTTTTCCAACATAAGTTCGTCGGAAATATTGTCACCCGAGAAGTCACTCTGAACTGGGTCACAAACGTTCGAATGACGCTTTAGTTTTGTGTGTTTCATGGTCTGAAATTATAAAAATAAAAGTAGTGTTATATCAGAAACGCAGTGACAAGCTGACGAAGAAATCAATTAAGATAATGTGGTTCACGGTTCACTGTAATAAAATTGTGTTAGAAATTTGTGCAATTGGCGATCTAAAGATGGCGCTTGTGGTGCATAGGAGAAATATAAAATGATGATGGTCGAAAAAAATGTTAAGTTTTTAACTGCTAAGGAGGAAGAAACCTCTAAAGCTACCTGATAAACGTATAATTTTAGAGTTGGTTGGAAATGCTATCTAACATGAAGTTTTAGTGTGATCATTTATTAGCTAGAGCAAGGTCTGAAGACGGTAGGTTAATAGTTTCGCTAGAGTACGGCAGTATGAAAATTGAATAGAAGTTGAAAATGAGCGAAGGGCCATTGATGCGACAGTACTAGTCAAACTCACACTTCTTTACCTAACTCATACATTAATAGATCAGGAGACTTGAAGTATTTCTTCAAATCTACAGGCAAAAAAGTTCGCTAATGAATTATCAGGAATTCCAGGGTATCGGGAAATTCTTTATTAAGTGAACAAATAGGTCCATCAACATAGTTTCCTTGGAAGTTTGTTGCATCTTTCACCTGGAATTTTCTTCCACCTTACCCCATAATCTATTTTCCAATTCCTATCGGAAAGTTATTTCGACCTCCCTTGGATGTTTCTTCTGACTTCGCTCGAAAGGTTCTTCCGTCTTCTCACGCCAGTTTCATTTTTCAACTTACTTACAGAGTTTTCTTGCGGTTCCATTACCTTCAGGAAAACTGCAAGTGCTATTAAGAAATTCTGATACTTCAAAAAAACTTCAGACTTTGTATAAGTTTAAAGATCTTTTTTTCTAATTCTGTATTAAGATGAAAGTCCAGAGAACTCCAAAGAACTTAAGGAAGCATTTGTTTCAGCAGAATTCAGAAAACTTTAGAGAAGCTCTGAGAACATCAGAACAGAGCAATTGATTTCAAGGAAATTGCTGAATCTTTAAAGAAGTTCAAAGAAACTCGAAGAATTTCCGAAAACTTCAGCAATATCCCGAGAGATTTATGAAAATTTTGGAAACGTACGGATAGTAACATGAACATTTGAAAATGTAAGAATATTTCAAGGGAAGTTCCATGCTTCTGAATGGCAGTTTCGAGAACTTTTAAATATTACAAAAATTGGGAAGATCAATGCTGATGTTCCATTAATTTTCAGGAAAAAAAATTTGAGCACTTTAGAAGTTCAGAAATTTCAGAGACAGTTAAAAAAGATTAGAGATTTTCCGGTAGTTCATTTTCATATCATTCGATTGAAGATGAACCAATACGCCTTTTTAATGCACCACCAACGTAGAGTGCGCCACGCGAGTTCGAGAAGAAACGTCAACCAAACCGTTTGTTTACATCAGAATAAGTATTTTCCCCAACGCAAATAATAGCATTTTTCATTCAAAATCTTGCCAATTTCCATCGGTAATTGTCTTATTGTTCGATTTTCCACAAATCTGAACTGATTTGCATCTTAACTATTCACACACAAGAAATCCGGAAGATCATAAGCACTAAGGCACTTTTCTAATTTTCCATTTTTTTTTTCAACAAAAATATTCCTGAACACCAGCAGGATATTTTCAAAAACGTTACAGAATTAAATTTTTCAACTGTAGATTAAGTTTTGCAGCATCTCAGATGAATCAATTTATCAAGAAAAGTAAAAAAGTGTTCCGCTTCCTATGTCTCAAGGCAAAAATTTATGCTCACAACACTCTTTTTGACGTTCTCCTATTCACCACCAGAGGTTGAATCGATCGTTTAGTTTCTATTAAAAATGCCTATAGAGCCATTCAATCAATTTTGTGAAATCGAATTCTCTCATGCCCCATTTGAAGAGCACCTTTCTTAATCGAACCTCATCGTCACTGCTCATTGAGTCACTCACTATCATTTGATATACGACAGTAGGGTATGGAAGAAACCCAGCAAAATGGTCCCTGAATGCTTCCCCTACCCGCTAATGTTGATAGTTTGCGTTAGTGTCATATGGGTTGCGAGAGAAGGGCATAAGAAGGTTTGTTTACAAAAAGCTTGTATGCCCTTTTCACATGTTGTTCTTGAAATGACTAAGCAAACTGATATCAGATTGATTGATAGCGGATAGCTGCTTTTATCATTTTCATCAAAAATGGTCAATTGATTTTGATAATTTACAGCACTGCTCACAACCAGGGCGTCACAATATCAGCTTCAATCGACCAAATCGATGCGACGAAGAGACTGCTGGCTTTTTTTCTGTTAAAGTCGAAAAGTTTCGCAGCATTCTAGAACCTCAGTCGGCGTGCACAAACAAATGTTCAATCGCTTGTCTCTCTTTCTTCCGTCGCTCCATTGGTCTTCCTTTCAAGCTTCGTCGAAACGGATGAGCGAAAGAGCGCTCGACTTTGATAGTTTTCTCTTTCATGAAACACATCAACAGAGGTTTCATGACGTATATGACGGAAAATGAAATAACACATTTAAAGCATTTCACACGTCAAAACACTTGAAGATTACACGTCATATTTTTATTTTTTTAGCTTCCACATATTTATCTAAAAAAAATGATCGAAAACGGGACATAACGCATTTTAAACAAATTGAAAGAGCGGTGATAGAGTGTTCGTGAAAGGGGTTTGAAAGTCATAATGAGGTTTCGTTTAGCTAGAAAATCGACGTTAGTTACATTGAAAGCGATTAGCAAAGCAACGACGAGAAGTTCCACAGCCAGCCTTTCCTTCTAAGCGTCCTGCTTTTTTATTTTCGTTTCTTGCTGATAGTCTAGCTAGGCGTTATAGAAATGAAGCGTCGAACACGTATGTATGAGAGAAACAAAACACGAGTTCATTTTAGAGCTTCGAAATTGTAGAGCCCTGCGTCACAACCAACCTTGAGCATTTATCAAGTATTTTTTTAAATTAAACAAATGGTTAGAGGTAGCGGTGCAGTGGTAAGCGTGTTTGCCTCTCACCCCAAAAGGCCTGGGCTCATTCCCAGTCGGAGCCACCGGGAATTAAAGCCGTTGGTCCCCGGTCTATGAGTTGATACGTTGATAAGTAGGGTCCAGGTGTGGGAGCTGCCTCCCTGGCGCCGGTAGCATTGGTACACTCAAAGAATAAATCACATGGAAAACATTCATTAGAATTTCGAAATTCAGATACATATCATTGGTTTTGGTTATGGAAAAATATTCTGTGCATGCCCAATGGAAACTACATGAAAGTTTTTTTTTCGTGTACTTAGTATGGAAAACAAGATCGACTGAAAACAAATCAAGAAAAGCAAATATATTAGACGATCCCATACACTTGTTCTCGAAACATCAGTATTAATTGGGTTCTTTAATTTTGAGGAAAAAACAGCGGTTTTTATACATCATCTTAAAGAGCATCGTTTTCTGAGCACAACGATATTTTTTTTTGAACCCATAGACTTTCATCTCGATTTTTAAATCAAGATTTAAAGCAAAATCGGCAGGAGTTCCCTGAACTTGGCAGGATTTCCCTGAATATTGGCAGGACTTTCCCAAAGTTCGGCAGGCCTTCCCTGAACATTGATAGGACTTCCCTGAAGTTCGGGAAAACTTCCCTGACTCACTAAACCCTCATTTTATCTGTCAAACTTTCATAGCAAATCAAAACAAACATTGTGTAGTAGTAGAATTTCGACTAGAATGGGGTACGTTAATCGTTTGCTTGGGACCAATAGGCTAGTCAAGTAGTGAGCCAATTTAAAATCGTTAGTTTCGTATTGATTGTTGGTAAAACCCCATAAGTCGATTTTCGTGAAACATAGCGGATCGTTTCTTATCCTTTAGCTCCACTGAAAAATCGCGTTTAATCTTTGCGTTAAAGGACGGGTCGAAACGTTACACACGCCATTTCATAACGACCCAAATTTGAGTAGGATCTACTCATATCCGTCAAAAGTAGGTTACCCCAAATTGAATAGACAAAGTTGGGACCGACAAAATGACGAATGGACAACATCGACCTGAATCCGAACAATGTGGTTCATTTGCCATCCTGTCAGTTCCAACTTTGTTTGCTCAATTTAGCCTAGCTCTACTTTTGACGGATATGAGTAGATCCTACTTAAATTTGGGTTGTTTCGAAATACAGGGTGACCAGTGAATTTTCATTTTAAAATTCCCGGTTTTTTCCCGGTTTTGAATATTTAGTAAAAAATAATGATTGCAATATCACGTTATTTTCGAGGTAGGGTTAACTACCCCATTCCCGGCCTATTAAGCACAACCCGCACTTAGTCTTTCTTAATCTAGCGTAGTTTAGCACCAAACGGATTGTTATTATTACAGATGGCTTTTACCTTTCCATACGTACCGTTAGTTCTGATAATGGGTTGCTAAATATTAGTTTATTGTTGAAAATGCAAAACTGTTTCTGGCGGCTCAATTTGGCCTACGGGTTTTTTTTTTTTTGGCCCTACAGGGCGTGACGAATTTTTGCAGTAAATTTCAAATAGTAATTTCTCATGCTTGTGCATCATGATTTAGATATATTTGGCAGCACTGGATAGCTTATACTGTTAGGTGTAATATTTAAACAAACAATGTTGAGTAAACGTAAAGATGTCGAAACAAGAGAGCAATCTGTCAGCCGTTGTCGCTTTGTTGCGCGCCGGAGTATACATGAAAGAAATAATTCGGTCGGTAAATGTGTCTGAAAGAACAGTGTAAAATATTAAAAAAGGCTTGGGAAAGTGATAAGACGGAGCACCTGCTCATACTGCTAATAAAGCACAGAAATGGCTTACGGAAAATATTTCGTAAATTTGGAAGGAAGAAATTTGGCCCACAGCAGTCCCGATATCAATCCGTTGGATTATTTTGTATAGGGCGTCGTCCAACGGGATACCAATAGAACCCCTCACACCACACTTAAGTCGCTAAAAGCTAAAATCAAGGCAGTGATGACATCTATGGATCGAAACATTTTAAAACGTGC